AAAAAAAAAAAAAAAAAAAAAAAAAAAAAAAAAAAAAAGCCAGCGGGAATCGAACCCTAGTCTCCAGCGTAGTAGTCAGGCGCCTTAGCCCCTGCGCTACGCCGCGGTTCTCAAAAATACTACTAACGAAAGGGTATATAAGCTACACTATATGATTTAATTTAAATCGAGTTTTCTCGAAAATGGCTGGGAGGTGCGCCCTGTCCCTTTGCTCAAATATTCTTCTAATAGAGTACTATACAACAAAAAAAACCCTTATTGAAATCGGTGACCCGAGGTTCGCGACCTCCCCTTGTTAGAGAAGAAATGTGATAGTTCTTTTAATTTTACACGTTTAGCTTTACAATGATATATTATTGTTTAATTATATACATTTTTTAACAACGTGATATATTACTAAGCACCTTAAGTATAATCTAGTTTACTTTTCACAGCCATACGGACAATTTGCTTTCTTCAGTGAACAAGAATATACTTATAAATACTATATACATGTGTGCGCATAGACGTGCGTGCTAATACAATTTGTACATATATAGAGAAGTGTGCTATATCGTGCCGCGTCAAGAGAAATTTTCGAAAAATACTTCCCGCGGCACGATACGGTGCACTCTTCTGTACACGTACATATATATATATATATATATATATATATATATATATACAATTATAAAAATATATATATATATACATAATTGTATATTTTATGTTTGTATGTTTGTATATCATCATTATCACAAAACACGGCAAGAATGATGGTACAACATTATATGACACGAAGTTATTACAGGTAAAGTAATTGTAACAAAATATAAGTATATTATTACATTTTTAATTTCAAATCTAATTTCCTCGAAAATAAAAGTTCTCGCACGAGAAAATTTTATTCTATATTTTCGATTTATTTTTTTTACAAAGAATCACCTATCTCTCCTAGTTGTACCTTCTGTCCTGTCGCATCTTGTATATTTCTTATATTTACATATGTATTAGCACACATATGTTATCAAAAAATGTACAGTAATATACACTTGAGGGCGTATATGCCTTACTCATATAAAATTGCAAATTAACACGTTGAAGTATATTATTCCGGTAGAAATCAGATGTTTCCTATAAGTACTCAAAAATAATTAGTGTCTCGTGCTACATATGTATATATATATATATATATATATATGTATATATATAATTTAATACTATTAAAAATAATATGAAATTTTCTTCTTAAACTTTGTTTTAGATGAGTAGAATCGAGAAAAAACCCACAAATGGATGACGAGAATAACTTGTCATTCAGGTATTTACGAATGACGTTCAACACGTTAACTAAACAATGGAAAAATTATTTGATTCATAAACAAGCATTCTTTGGTTCCAATAAATGCTATGTTTTTGACGACGATATGTTTGTATTCGACAGATATTGTTATTAGAATAAGTGAGAGCACATACGCCCCCAACTGTATATAGATATACATATTCCAGACAGCACATCTCTAAAATACGACTAAAAACGACTTAAAAACGTCTCTTATTGTCTTTTAGATATCTTTAAGGATGTCTTTTGGACTTTTTGTGCTGTCTGAAATGCGTGCGCGCGTTCTTTCTCTCTCTCTCTCTCTCAGATTGTGTTATATACACGTGTTTTTATTACATTATTACACTTGTTTTATATTTGATTTTGTGCGTGTGATCATATAGTCAAAAATTGAAAAATTAAATTTTTTATTTTAGTAAATAATAATATATAAATTTGTTGTAATAATAATATAAATTGTTTTTCTATTTGAATGTCAATATCTACATACTATCTCTTTACTTTCAGTTCACACAAAAGTAAGGTAACTGTCCTAATGATACGTTTCTTTTATTTATTTTAAATCAAATCCATCAAACACAAAAGAGAGATTTAGTTTCAATATCATTAAGAACAAACGTAAACTGTTTACAAAATATATTTTTCACTTTTCAAAGTTATCTTTGATCTTTGCAGTTTTTGTTTATTTTTTAAATCAAATTTATGAAATATAAGAAATAATTTATTTCCAATATCATCAAAACAAAACGTAAAAATGTTTCCAAAATGTATTTCTCATTTTTCAAAAAATTATCTTCGATAATTTTTTATATAAACACAATTATTACATTATCACTTAATGTAAATGGAATAGCTTATTACTATTGATGGGGACAGTTATCTTATAAAGTAAAAACAAACTACTACAATTATTCTGACATCGATTACAACCCAGGAGAAAGAATCCTTCGTATGTGGACAAATTTTATATCTGGTTATATCTGTTATCAATCAATCATCTCATTACACATAATTATTTAAATTGCTCGATCTCATTACACATAATTATTATACTTTTTGTTTTTTTTTATTATTTATCTAGATATAATTGGAGAGAGAATTTGTCACATACGACACGGACTGTTTTCTCGGGAATGACGTTCTAATTTCTTTTTCATACATGTAACCAAAACATATTGCTAGACGGCCAAGTGTCGTTGCAATCACAAGTTTTGTAAAAGAATTTTGATGTCTTTTTTTTTATAACTCAAAGTAAAAGTAAAAGACAATGGAATAAAGAAAGATTCTTTGCTAAATATAAAAGTTTTTTTTCCTCCTATTATTTTGTAACTTGTAAAGACAACATCGTTGTCGTCAAACTTCCGCCAGCGAGCTGTGGATTATTTTTGATCCGTGGATTTTTTTATCTTTCACTTAGACACGTTAAGAAATAAAAACATTTTTGCAAAAAATAAGAAAATAATAACTCGGAGTTCGCTCGTTGTCGGTTATCGTTGCGTAGTTTATTTTGCGATACACTTTTGTTTGCGCAAAAACTCAAACGTACACGTTAAAATTTCAAAGTTACAAAATAAGGGCCCTGACGTGCATCGATTTGATGCATACGTTTTAGTGAAAATTATAAAATACCTAAACACACATTAAAAACATACACATACACTGTATTGACGGTAACTTTCATATACATAATTGCACACATAAGCTAGCTAAGAGAAAATGTGGCAACAATAAATCATGCTTATGACTTGAGAAGACGTAAATATTTGTCGCTTAGTCATACGTTAAAGGATAGAAATTTTTGTTTTATATTTGAATATTTGTTTTACATTATATGATACAAAACAAATACATATATATATATATTTAATATATGTATATATATATTTGATTTTTCTGAAATTTATTAAAATGATCTTTTATCGGAAATTATTTTACCAATAAGTTTAAATGTTTTATTGCGTCATTTTTTATTTAAAATTTTTTATTTAAAATTTTTTATTGTTTGTTTTATTATATATTATTTTGTTTTATTTAACCTAACCTAATCTTAAATTCCTATCCTTTTTACGATAACGCGTGCAATTTTTATATGACTTATTTTTTTTTTTTTTCTATCGCTTTGTTGCATAAAAAAAAGAATAATTATCAAATGTATAATTTAAACTACACTCTCGCGTTCAGTTTTCTTGTCGTATCGTATCATTCCTCTCAAAGAGACATTGCTGTTGCGCAGTCCGGACCCGTTAAACATCTGGATGATTGTTGACGGAATATCCAACAGCTTTCGGCCGGAAGACTTTTTATCAGGTACACTGTCCGTGCTAGACGCGGATACCACCTGATCTAGCGAACGTGAACGCTTATCTCGTATGTCTACTTTGTTTTCGCCGTCATTACTCAGCAGTGGTTCTGCTTCGGTCGGCGAATTATCGACATGAGACATTATCACATTGCCATTGGGGTAATTATTGTTCAACAATTTTTCAGAAATGTCCGTCTTTGAGTTGATCCGCATGAACTCGGTCTCCTTCCAGAAAGATGGCAACTTGTTCCGCTTGTTGTATATATCGGCGGGCAGTCGATCAAGCGAGCGGGATTCGCGTATGACGGTCTGCGATGGATAATCGCTCGACGACGAAGACGCGATAGTAGACAGAACACGCGGCATGTTTTTTTCAGATCTCAGATCCGTGTTGATAAATAGATCGTCGACCGACTTAACATTGTTAGCTCGTCGTCTACGCACTTCACTTTCTTCTCGAAACAAAACGTTGTCCAATGTCATCCTCGAAGCGCTCTCGGTCAGACCTAGAGGAGACTTCTCTTCTTCGTCTTTCTTACGATTGAGCAATGATCGCGAGACTGGACTAGATCTACCGCATTGAGAAGAAGCATCGTCTGTCGTTGGATACAACACATTTGATTGTCTACGACTTCCTGCGCCTAATCCATCGATGAGCGATGCATATCGCGAGTCAGGATTCAGTTTCGGACTTTTCCGCGGTCTGCAAAACAACGGCGGAAGATTTTCGTCTCTGGCTGAATTCTGTAACAAATATTTAAAAAATGCAAACGAACAAATTGTACGCAAAAATGTCAATAATACGAATGTAATATTTAAAATGCGTATTTTTTCTGTGTAACATTAGAACTTCAAATCTACATAATATAATAAAACATTTAAACATTTTACTTATTGAATAAATTTCTGATAAAATATATCACCTTAATAAACTTAAGAAAAATCAAATATACATATAATATAGCGCAACAAAAAATATTTAAATTCAAAATCAAAGTTTTTATCCTTTAAATATATTTGTATAACACAATTTTTGTGACAGATAATTTATAAAATTTTTATTCACCTCCATCTTTTTTCTGTGGGTTACAGTAGCTCCTGTGAGCCAGTACGTTTTTACTCTTCCCTTTCCTTTTATGTCGATATAGCCGCGTTCCTCGATCTCGTAACCTCCGATCTTATCGAGCGCTTCTTTACATTGTTCGCTGATGTGTATTCGCAATGGTAGACCTGTGGATTCCATACGAGACGCAGTATTTACTGTGTCCCCGAACAAACAATATCTAGGCATCGTTAAACCAACAACACCAGCCACCACAGGACCTATAATTTCAATGTTCGCTCACATAATATTGCTCATTGTATTATATGTGTATATATATATTTTTTTTTAAGTGCACCTGTCTCTCTTACCGGTGTGAATTCCGATACGCAACTTGAGAGTATCGTTAGGCCGATGTGGTATCTTGTGGTTTCTAACAGCGTTAAGTAATTCCAATGACATTGATGCTATTTGTCCAGCATGCTGATCTCCATTTCTTAATGGAAGTCCGGAAACCTAATAATAATGTGTCGAGGATGAAGAAAACAAAAACAATATTTATTTCGTAATTACTCATTAAAAATGAGAAACGCTACTTACGACCATGTAGGCATCTCCTATCGTTTCTACTTTGTACACTTCGTATCCTTTAATTATACGATCGAACAATGTATACAGATCGTTCAGAAAATTTACAACCTATGTGTTTGCACAAATCACGTCAATAACAATTAATTATTTTCTTAATTACGCTAATTATATTATTAATGTGTGTGGAGTGTGTACAAAAAGAACCTACCTGAAACGGTGTGCTTTCCGCGGACATCGCCGTGAAACCAACAATATCGCTGAAATATATAGTAACCAGATCGAAAGCTTCGGGTTCTACTCCAATGCCGTTTGTTAAGCAATTTGCGACAGGTCTGAAACGAAATATTTAGCAAATAATACAACTGAATTTTTCTTCGACAATCTCGGTCAATTAGTGAAAAGATTACTTACTTAGGTAACATTCTATGCAGCAGATCCTCGGTTTTCTTTTTTTCCTCTTGAAGAAGTTCCGTGCGTTCGTTGACTAACTCCTCGAGATTGCTCGCGTATTTCTCCATCATGTTCATCATTTGATCCATTATATTCCGATCCGCTCCAACTTTCATGTTCTTCATTCTTCGTCTGATCGTTTTGATATCCGGTCTGAATTCCGGGGTTTCCGCCCAACAATCCGATATGATACTAATAATGTAATCTTCGCAGTTTGCTTTTGATTCGGAGAGAACATTCAAGTTGGGCCTGAACGGCGGTTCGCAATCGTTCGGGAACTTCTTTATCCGCTCTATGATTTCTGTCAATTCACATTAATAAAATTAATTGGTTAATAATCATTTTTTCTTTTTAACTACTTAGCGCGAATAATCGAAAATTTTGTACATGTCTCTGTTCGCGTTAAAATTTTCTCACCTTTAGGTTCCAGATTTATATTTCCGTACGGTCCTTTTCGTCCGATAATTTCGTACAGAATAATAGCGAAAGCAAATATATCACCTCCTTGGGTGCCTTTGATCGAAGCAGACGGATCTCGAAGCAGTTCCGGTGCTTTCCAAAACAAGTCTAAAACGAGACAATCAAAAGATAATAAATATGAAAGAGTGTGAGAGATTTTCGTGTTTCTCGCCGTATTGTATGCAAAAATAAAAAAATTATTACGCACTTCGATAATACTGATGTTCGCCGATGCTATCGGACTCGGCACAGTGACGCATATCATGAAGACCAAAATCTGTGACTTGGAGCACCCAACGTGCGCTCACAACACAATTGGAAGACTTCAAATTACCGTGACAGACTAGCACAGATGATTCGTGAATATACGATATAGCCTGTTCAGAATCAGAATTCGTCGTTTACGAATAAGATAATTCACTTCGCACACTCAATTATATATCGGCAGTTTTTTATCTCAAGAACACTTACCCTAATGAGATCGTGAATTAATGACGTAATAAACATATCATCTAATTTTATATCTTCGTTCTCAACAATATCCTGCAAAATACGTAACAATTTAAACAAACACGTTTAAATATCTCTTTTTTTTTGTTTTTAATTTTCTTTCAACTTTCACGAATAAATATTTGTTAAAATTACAAAGCATATGTGCATCATGGCGTATAAACACATACTTATATGTATATGATTCTACACGCAATAATACATAGCGCTATGAATAACAGCGGAATTGTCACTATGACATATCGTGATTACATATGACGTACATTAAGACTTCCCCTGGGACAATACTCAGTGAATAGTAATATTCTCATCGGCTCGACGCACGCTCCGAGGAAAGAATTGATATTTGGATGCCTAATGTCTCGGAGGTAGCGCATTTCCTTCATAACTTCCCGTGAGATGTCTTTCTTCCTTGAGAATTTCAGTTCTTTTATTCGCACTCTCGCGCCGCGATAAGACGCGGTTTGAGCGAAGACCTGACCGCCGCATCTCGACTCATAAGATATAGCGCTAACTAAACTTAACTGTAAAAAAAATGTCCACACTTATTACACACGCATTTATTTGTTTATAAAAATCAAACATATAAAAGAAACACCGTATATATACACGGAACCAAGTCCGTATCAAATAGGATGACGAGCGCGCGCTCACTCCCCTTACCTTACTAGGAGAGGACATCATGTTATCGGGTCTGGGATAACCGCGTATCTCATTAGGATCGATTTTCCAAAGCAATCCTTCTATCTCCTGTTCTATCTTCCACCTTCGATATATGCATGACGAGATTATTGCCCCAAAGATCAGTAAAATTAGTAGAGCGATTGAGATAATGGTGCGAAATTGCGTGTCATCTTTCGGACAATGCTCATTAAGAAAGCCGCAACCAGGTTCAGCCTCCGGTTTGTTTTTACCGGGCCAATCCATAGCTCCCGACGGTCTGTACACCTGCGTGTGCGATTCGTCGTTGTTTTTTTTATTCGATATCGATCGGAAACGCGTTTGAATTTCGGTGTAATTTGAGTGTAAAACAGAATTGTTTTCCGTACGCACGGTTTGAAAAATGTTTCTCGAATATTACAAACAACTCACTCACTAGGCTATCACCCTGCTGAAACTGGCCCACAGGCATCATTTGGAACTCACAGGAAAAATTGTCACGGCTGAAGGACTTTTCTCTTAGAGCAAGCACTGAAAAATTGCCTTCCGAGTCTCCGAATTTGTCCAATTTAATGGTCGCTCCGCTCACACCTGGCAAAAAGAAGATTAAAAACGTGTCTGGACGGGTGGTGGTTCGCGATGTTGATTTTCAACGCGGAGAAAATTGTTTCATAATTTTTATACATACAGTCAAACCTCGATAACTCTAAAAGGATGCAAATTTTCATTTTTTTCCGCTCCGCCGAAAGGAAAAAAACACTTCGATAAGTCAAAACCTCTACAACTCAAAGATTTTAGCTCTTCCCTTGAGATTCGAGTTATCGAGTTCGACTGTACAAACTTTTTATTTTCTCATCCGTAACGTGAGCACTTCGCTTATTTTCCTTTCAAAGAAAATTCTACTACTGCTGCAGAATAAGCGTGATTTTGCATACGTTGCAGTGATTGGCTGATGGATGGCGCCATTTCTCACGCTGTGCTCGCTCTGCTAAAGTGCGATAGTGGGGGTCAAAAGAGAAGCTGAGAGTGGTTTTTGAGAAAATATAACAGATTGTGAGGAAAAATAAATGAAGTTTTTTAATGTATATAATTCTCTTCTAAAAATTCATTTAGTTCTCTAAAATGATAAAGATCTACACATCCTCTCGATCTGGTTCTTTCTCCTCGGTTATCAGCAAGTATGTCAAGTGTTAGATTGAGTGTGTGTGTGTGTACGCGCTAACCACTTAAGATTAATCTCATTAATATAGATTACACATCTATATCTAGACGTTATAATATGCACTTACTATGATAGGTTTTATTCCCGATAATTTTCTTGATTATAAGAGTGCCGTTTTTCGCGAGTTCCTCGACAGGCTGATCCGGTCTATCTCGTATAAGCTGGTCCAGAGCTTGCGCGTAAAGTTTGAGGGAATCGTAGAGATAAGCCGCGTAAATCGATACATACTAAAAATGAATTGTTACAAATTCGGCAAACAAGTTACGTGAAGTGTGATTTTATATAAACATTTAAAAAATCAATAAGAAAAAAAATAAAAATACCGTTTCGTATTTTTTCAGAAGTGTGGGAACTATGAAATTGAAAGGTTCTTTAGAACTGAACTCTCGAACTTTCTTGGTAAAGTCCTCGTAATTCTGCGACGGCGGTGTGGACACCACCACCATCAACGATCGTGCCCTCTTCAGAAAATCTTTCGACTCCTGGCAGTTTTTTAGTTTGTTGTAATCTTCCGGTTCTGTGCAAAAAATAGCGGCACAACTTATTATTATTATTATTATTAACATATTGACGTTAAAAAAACGGACTGTCAAAGTCTGAAAGAGAATACACTGTATATATTATTTAATGTATGATTGATTGGTCAAAGAATCGCGCACACGCACATACGCATATAAAATTTACTTAGTGTCCTGAATTTTTACTAAAACATTAATTTCGTAATTTCTTACATTATAAATAGCGCAAGATTTCTTTTAAAAAAGAAGAATTTACCATTTACTCACGATAACAAATAGATATAAATAAATAATTGACCCGGAAAAGATGATTCGCTTACTCCACAAATATTTTTGCGCTTCACTCGTCGAATACGTCATCATGTCCACGTGTATCACCATGTACTCCCCGTTTTCCAGCAACCTTTGACTTTGCATCGAGTTCATCATATCTATCAATGACATTGCCGTTCCCAGGAAGATATAAACTGACATAACAAATAAAGATAAATTAAATAACAAACCAAATAAAATTTCCGCGTGTCGTGTAATAAACTTATTGCATAAACAAAGTTTGTTTGTGTGCGACGTAAGACCACATGTGAAAAAAGTGTGCGAAAACGAATTGATAATCTTAGTTCGTGATTATAGCAAAAGTATGACTCGAGTTAAAACAAAATTATATATAAAAAAAAAAAAAAAAAAACATTAGAGCTGAAAATGGTTTCCAGGTTTGAACCGCGTCAGAATTGATCTCTATTGATCTATTCTGAACATTTGTTTTAGTTTTCTTCGCGACGGTTTCAGAAGCATCCTCAAGACTGAGCTCTGAGGATCTTTTTCTTAGCGTTAAGTTGCAGAGAAAAAAGAGTATAGCAGAGAGAGGAGTAATGGAGCAGTAAAACTGACACTAACGCGGTTCAAACGCGGAAACCATCTTCAGATATTAATGCAACATATCGCGAAGACATCAAATGTCAAAACATTGAAGCGTTTCTAACTCAAAGAAAGTGATGATAAATCGCGGGAGATGATTGTCGACAGTGTTTAAGACCAATAACGCAATGTTTAGATGAACGTCAGTTCATTTCTGTTGCGCCGCAAGCAACCGGCGATCGCGTTCTGCAAAGTTAGAGCGAACGTAAAAAAGAAATGTGGACTAACTGCGAGTCATATTTTTGGTCTCTTGTATAAGCTGGAACCATTCGCTGGCAGCAAGGCAGCAGGGCAACCTCTCCTCGCAACACGTGTGACGATCTTCCACAATTTTGTAGTGGTTTATAGTGAGATTATTCATCGCCGCTTGTTTCTGAAGCGAATGCGCGACCGTCAACCAGGCGCGTTCGCTCACGATCGTGAACTTGTTCCATCCGTAGTGCAACAACAGCGCGATCACCGATTTCGTCACCTGCGTGTCCGGTGGTTCAGTTCTAGCAAACGTGCTCACTTCCGACGCCTTGTAGTCCGAGCATTTCTGCAACGAAGAACAATTCTGCGTATGAACACGCGTTAGGGGTCTAATGAGTTTTTACGTGTGAAACAAGTGTCACGCAATCGTCATGCCGTTTTATTTACAAAAATTATTTTCTGTAGAATTAAATCGATTTCGCGCTGATTTCTCCCTCGAGCGTTTCGTCGAAGTAACTATTCGTTTTGTTCGTGAAATCACACAAATGGGACTTTACTATTTAGCGCCCGCAACTTGAGCGCAATTTGATCGTCGACGCGTGTAATCGAAGTCGTCACGTGCGCGATCACGTCCGGTTTTACACGGCACTTATTCAGCGAATAGTTCGAAATTTGTATAAGGGAATCGTATTGCGCGTATATTGGTTCGCATACGCGCCGACCCTTCGAGATTACAATACAATGCGCAAAACTTTCATGACATATTTGTACATTTCTAAAAAAAAAAAGCTGTCATCTCCGAGTGTAAAAATAATAAAATTGTACTAAACTGAATATCTAAACCGCAATAGTGTTCTTTCATTACTAGGTCGGGTTTATATAATTAAGGAGTTCATTGTCAGTTTTTCATTACGCAATAAATTTATTAATGATTTTTGTAGTTAATTGATATTTAGATGACTGCCTATGTGGTGCACGTGTCTCTCGCTTCGCGATGTCCATAATTTCTTTCTAACATTACACTAGACAAAAAGAATCGCGAATGCGCCCTCTTCTCGAAGAGTAAATACTCGCGCGTATGCGTGAAATGCGTGCGTGATGGTATACAACTGCGCAATGAAAACGAGCGTAGCCGCAAAGTAAAAGAGGAAGAAATATATAAAAAAAAAATCTCCGTAAGGGGAAAAAAAGAAAAGGACACGCGAGAGAGAGAAAGAGAGAGAGAGAAAGAAAGAAAGAAGCGAGAGACACGGCGAAGTGAAGAAAGTTGGAGAAGGGAAAAAGTACAGGGAGATGTGCACCGGGAGTAATGCAGGCAAAGTCGGTGCCGTGGTGTGTGGCGCGGTTAAATATAAACCCAATGGCGAACGGGTAGACAGAGGAAGAGACAAGAGTAAGAGGAGAGAAAGAGGAGCAGAGAGAAGGAGTGGATGAACGGGGCGACTATCGTCGCACGTACCCCAAGAAGTGCATGGGCGGTTGAACGGTGACATGCGCTCCTCATTAACATATAAATTAAACGTGACAGTCAGTGAGGGTCAGTTCTTTAGCGACTACCGCCACGCCGCCCAGGCTGTCTCTTTCATCTTCTTCCTGACTGTATGGAAAGCTAGTTTTTTTTTTGTTTTGTTTATTGGAGAATCTAAGGTGTTAATAATGCCGCGACTGCTTTTAGTAGGTTGATCGCAACAAGTTAACGTAACGTTCGTTCTTTCTCGAGTTTTTAATCAATAAATCTGACCAACTTCATAAACTGAGCGTCGAAACACATTTGAGAAATACAGTCGAACCTCGATAACTCGAATCTCAAGGGAAGAACTAAAATCTTCCCTAAAATCTTTTCGGCGGTTCTTTTGACGGTTTTCCTTTTCACCTAAATTTTTCCGCTACCTGCTTGATTTATTCGAACTCTTTTTTGCGCTGCAGAACTTGATGTGAAGAAAATGCGTAATGAAATAGCTAAGTGCAACCCTGAAATTCTCCTTACTAGTTAGAGAATAATAAAGTTGACAAAAAGAAGTTCTCACAGAAGCACAAAGAAGAAGCAATAAACTAGTTACCCTCGGACGCTACTTCACAAAGTAAACAATCGAGCATTGGATATTTTGCACATCCGGATCTCAGCCACAAAAAAGAGAAAGGATCGACCCAGACAGACCCAAAAAGATTTAGATAAACAAAAATACACATTTGATTCAGCAATTTGCTGTTTTATTCTTAGACAAGACAAATTTGGGACACCGTTACCGATATTTCCTGTCCATAGTTAAGAGGCTATTTTGAAAAACTGGACTGGCCAATGACGGGACCTCGGTCAATTTTTATAGTCCGACCTCGTAAGATCAATCATTTTGATTCATTCATTTTGAAAAGAACATGTTGTGTCATTGATACCGTAGTCAAAAGAAAATGAATAGATTTGGGCAAGAAATTTTTCGTGAAAAGAAATCCCTAAACAAGTGTGTAAAAATACAATCATCTCGTCTTGCTCTGTTCCGAATGAGAGCACAATTGGCGGAAATCGATCCGCTACTCGAGACGCTTATTCCAGTTTGTGAGACTGACGAGATGGGCATTGCCGGCTCTCTCGACGATGTTATTCTGGGTTCTCACTCGGCTATATTTAGACGAGACCACCTTGAGCTCGGCTCGAGAGCTCTCCGTGTGGCATAACGAGCTGATTTTCTTTACCGACTGATTGTGTTTGATTGTGCAACGCGCGCGCGTTCTAGTCGTACGTACGATCGAAAAGCAAAAGTTGAGGAAATCCTCTCTTTCATCACGACGCGATCGCGGCGCGCGACGCTTTTATCCTTCCTCTCTCGCGTGATCGACGTCGATCGGCCGTCGTCATTTTTCGCCGTTTGCGGTTACGGTTGCGCAATGACTCTTTTGCACAGTCTCCATGAGCTTGCTTAACCTTTAAACGGGTAATTAACGGTAATAACAAAGATCGGTTTCCCGTGACAAAGTGCATTTATTTATAGCTCGCGGATTATAAAAAAAATATAAAAAAAATATAAAAAAAATAAAAAAAAAAACCTGCTGTCCTTATATAAGACCGCAAGAGTGTAAGCGATACAAAATTACATCAGACACGCTTGGCGATCTTTCTTCAATTAGTGGAGAAACAATTTATTATCGCCGTGCAAAATAAGAAAAACAATTGTTTGAGGAGTACGCGTTTGATTCAATCTCATGTTATTGTTTTTGTAATTTCATACGTGTGTGTGTGCACTTTTTTATGTAAATGATGTAGCTTGAATATATTATCAGCAAATAAATTATTTAAAAGAACATTTAAATAAATTATTGAGTGCATTAAAATAAATTATTTAAAGGCACATTTAAATAAATTTATTTAAAGGAACATTTTTTGATATATTATATTTAGTTATTCACACATAATATATAATATATACGCACGTATCTATAAATATTTAAATCTCAGATTAGCGTGTCGTGTATTCGTGATATCGGGATCGCAAAAATTACATTTTATGACTTAGAATATCCATTTTGCAAGATCGGTCAAGATGGTATTCGCGCGTAGCCGAGAATTCTGTACGATCGAGTGTGAGCGATTGCAAAAACGAGTTGTTGCAAATAAACGAGTGAAGAGAATCTTCCACAAATTGTTTTCTGAACGAGCGCCAATGCAGCGTCGCGCACAAATGGCCGCGCTCAAATAATGCGCAATCGTGGGAAAATTTGTTCGTCAAAAATATTTGTTTCGCGACCAATAAAAAAAAAGTTGCGGAATTAGAACGAGGTTGTTGAGTTGCAGCCGCGGCAAATCGAAGGACGTTGACATACAAACCCGAAATTATCTTCCGAGAAACGCGTCGTGAGGTGCAGCCAAGCAGTTAGTTCTCATCGTTACACACCCATACATTCTCGGGTCAAAAAAAAAAAAATCTGATAAAACTGACGAATCGCGAAAGATTCTCGAATGTCTCTTTTTTTTGTTAGATATAAAATTACAGTTTCTCTTTTAAAGTTTTTTTGTTTTTATTTTGTTTCAGAGTAACGTCAAAATTAAATATCGGCATTACGCTTTCTAAAAATAAAGTGTTTCAACATTCGTTATCAAAGTGTCATGTATGTATATGTATATTATCATTAACACGTTATTATTGCAAACACCCCAAAGCATGTCACAAGTTTATCATAGCTACATAAAACGGACGCTCGGCGCATTAGAATTCGCATGTTAACTTTTACATCATTTTCATAAATTCATGAAGACTTGACGTGGCGCATCTTAAACGGGATTTGTACGCATTCCACGTAATGGACATGTGTTTAGTGGTTACTTCAATTGCATATAAACGAGAGACACATTTATCATGTTCTCATCCGGTTCACTGAACGGAAGTAACACTTGAAAAATCTCGAGGAAGTTAAATATTTGTTGCTGGAATATTAAATATCAAATCTTTCTTTCTCTCTCTCTCTCTCTTCTCTCCTCTTTTATTTTCATTCATTTTAATGCCATTAATATAATTGTCTAATATAAACTTTCACTTTCTAAATTATCTTTGTTTTTAATAGATTAAATTAAAGTCTGACAATTTTTCTGTAATTGTTTGCAAACTTTTCGATACTGAGAAAGAGAGAAACAGCAAGCCAAGTTTTTGAGGAAGTTACATCATTCTACCATAGATTGGCAAATAAAGTGTTTTTACGTTTAGACTTCGGATACAAAAAACGACGAAATTATCTGTGAGATCTTGCCACCTCAACGGTACAACTTCTTCTTTTACAATCGCGAACAACACATTATTAGCCGGTATTCGACAGTTTTTTTCGATCATTATTTACTCGACCGGAAGAATGAAACGATACAGGCGGATCGTTCAAGCTGGATAAATAGCGATATTAATAGCCTCGCGTGCAATTTAGCGTATTATTGCCGGGAATTTCGCAAATTCTCGGAAAGTTTATTTCAAAATATTATTAGTTTCATCAACTTATTAACGTTAGGATTGTGTGCGTATTTAGTGACTTTCGGCAATAATATCTTTGTAGAAAAACCCCCGAAACGTTATAATTATCGAAAACTTTTGCAAATATAAAACGACTTATATAGTACGTTTTATATTTAGCTCGGAAATGAGCGATGTGTGAGATTTCACTTTTGCGGAATCGTCAATTTCCTGTGTGGCAAAGATCACGGTCGAACGAGAGCACGGAGTTGATGATGGCACGTTCCGAGGCTCGTCGATGAGAATAAAACGTATCTTTAAATAATCGACGCAAAATGTAAGACAACACGCAGCGCGCGATTAATTCTGATGTTTATTCTTTCTTCAATTTAAAACATAAAATAAAATCGATTCTCGA